CAGGCACGCGCCACCATGCCCAGCTAATTTTTTGTAGTTTTAGTAGAGACGGGGTTTCACCATGTTGACCAGGATGGTCTCGATCTCTTGACCTCGTGATCCACCCGCCTCGGCCTCCCTTTAATCCCTTTCTTTACATGCATGGCAGTGTGCTATACATACTGTATATGTTCATTTTTTACCAGTCCCTAATAATTGCAAAAAGACTGAAAACAGTGCTGCAGTAGACATCCGCATACTTGTGTGCTTTTGTGCAAACATGCAAATGTATTTGTAGGATAATTTTCTAGAAGTATTTCCTAGCCTAAGGATTTTGAAGGGCAGGAAGGTAGGGTGGACCTAAGGAAACCTGAGTAAGACATCTGCCCGTGGTTGTGAGCTGAGAGGTGCTGGACATGACCAGGCGGACCCGATCAGCTTGTCCAGCTGATCTCTATTATGAGGAGGCACTTGAACAGGGAAGGTTTTTATCCTGGGCCCTAGCCCTTGCCATTTCCTCTCACCTACTTTCTCACCTCCATCCAAATCAGGAAGCACAAGCCTATGCCGACGACAATAGTTTGCTGTTTATGGAGACATCAGCAAAGACTGCCATGAACGTGAATGAAATTTTCATGGCAATAGGTAAGTTGCTTCTCCTCCCCTCCTGTCTGCCACACCAAGGGCATATCACTTGTCTGCTGTCCTGGAGTGGGCCTGTGGGGTCCCTTCACCACTTTTAACCTTCTGATAAAATTGTTTTCATCCGCACCTGACTCCCAGTTGTAGATGTTGGTTATTCACCTCATAAGTTCCTGAAGCCTGGGTCAAAGTCTCAACATTTCACCCCTGACCCTGTCGCCTGCCACCCATGTCCGAGCCTGCCATCACTACCCCTACCCACTTCCTGGGAGTTTTTAGCTCATTGGCTCTGGAATCATCCTGCCTGGGTTGCAGATCCTGCCTCAACTACTCGTTAGCTCTGTGGTTTGGAGCAAGTTATTTTACCTTCCTTTGCTGCAGTTTCCTAAAAACACTCAGAAGGCACCTGACACATAGATATGTTAGTTATCACTGATGGGGTGTAAAGGCCAGAATCTGCTCCAGTGGAACTCAGAGAGTTATTGGGGTACTCCCTACAAATGCACTTTCCCCCACTTCCAAACAGCTAAGAAGCTTCCCAAGAACGAGCCCCAGAATGCAGCTGGTGCTCCAGGCCGAAACCGAGGTGTGGACCTCCAGGAGAGCAACCCAGCCAGCCGGAGCCAGTGCTGCAGCAACTGAGCCCCCCTTGCCTGCCCGCTGCCCCCACCTCCTCCGCCTGAACGACCCGACTGGAATCCACTCTAACCAATCGCACTTAACGACTTGGGCCACCACTGGGGGGCAGGGGGGAGGGGTCCACCATGATTTCTTCATATAATTTTGATCATAGGCTGGAGTGAGGTATTCCACCTGCACCTTTCTGTACAAATACTAATTCAATTTTAAGTCTTAAGTCACTTTTTTAATATATATGATCTTCTGCTCTTCCCACTTCCTCCCCTTTCTACTGCTCTCTCACTTTCCCTTGCTGGGAGTAGCCACATGCTCCTGTCCGCCCCGCCCCCCCCACCCTTGTACATGGGGACAGCGGGGTCAGAGCAGCTACACTTTCTTTCCTTCCTGCGGAACAGCAGACCCAGCAAGAGCATCCACATCCTCTTCCTGTTCGGAGTGGTCTTGGGTTTGGGCGGTGGGGCAGACCTTGGGAAGGGGCTTGGGAAGGGAGTGGCAGCTCTTCCCTCAGCTGGCTGTCATCAGGCTGCAGCCCCCTCCCTGTCCCCACCTCCCTGCTGGGGAAGCACAGCATTATCACAGCATTATTGTGACAGCCACAAACCCATTGCCCACAGCCCCTCCACTCTCGGTCACCCCGACCTCTGGCTCTGAGCCCTGTTCTGACCAAATCACGATGATGAGTATTTGGGGGTGGGTGGGTAAGGGGGGGAGTGGGAGGGGACGGAACCAACTTTTTCTGTATTTTGTATTGTATGTTTTCTTCAACATGTAACCAATCAGTATCTTGTCAATATAGTCAGCCGATCGACCTCACACTTGTCTTCCTTGTCTTTCTCTGGCAGAGTTTATCAGACCATGCCCTCTCTAGTTTACTTGAAGTTGATTTAAAATGAACCACTGAATCTGGTTAAACAAAAGCTTCCCCTCAAATGTGAGGGAATGCTGGTGGTCATGGTGACCAAGAGAAAGAGGCTCTTACTGTTCGCAGCTCCGATGGGGTAGGGGTAGGGTAAAACTGACCTGGGCTGACCAAGTTTGAAGTTTCAGGGCCTGTGTTCACTTCTCTACCACTCCCTCCCCCTCCACTACTTACCAGATCATGCTGGGGTAACATGCGGTCTGGATTTGATGATCAGTAAGTAGTCTCTGAAACACCAGAAGCAATCTCTTTGGGTGTTTTGTTTGGTCTTTACCAAGCCTGTGAGGGTCTGAATCCTCTCACTCTCTTCCTGAAGAGGAAGGAATCGCTGCAGCCCCTGGCTTTCCTCACCACCTCTGTCCACAGCACCCCGAACACCAGATCCAAGTTGCCCCAACCCAGCTCTCTACTGGTTCTGGAATCAGATCTGAACACTCTCAGCTCTCTGCTGCTCCCTGCTGGAGCTCCTGCTCGGCTAGGGTCATACTCCCCTCCAATTTCTCTGTGTTGGTGAGACGGAGTCTCTGTCACCTAAGCTGGAGTGCAGTGGGGCCATCTCAGCTCACTACAGCCTCTGCCTCCTGGGTTCAAGCCATTCTCCTGCCTTAGGCTTTCGAGTAGCTGGATTACAGGGGCCTACCACCATGCCCAGCTAATTTTTGCATTTTTAGTAGAGTGGGGTTTCACCATGTTGGCCAGGCTGGTCTCAAACTCCTGGCCTCAAGTGATCCGCCCGCCTTGGCCTCCCAAAGTGCTGGGATTACAGGCATGAGGCATTGTACCCGGCCTCTTATTTTTTGAGACAGAGTCCTACTCGCTCAGGCTGGAGTGCAGTGGCAGCATCTTGGCTCACTGCAATCTCCCTCCGCCTCCCATCCGCCTCCCAGATTCAAGCGATTCTCTTGCTTCAGCTTTCCGTAGCTGGGATTACAGGCGCACACCACCATGCCTAATTTTGTTTTTAGTAGAGACGGGCTTTCACCATGTTGGCCAGGCTGGTCTCCAACTCCTGGCCTCAAGTGGTCCACCCGCAGAGGCCTGATTCTTGGTGGACCACCACCTTGAGGTGCCTTTCGTGCCTCCTGTGCCTCCACTCCCTCTACCTCTCACCCCATCCCCAGAAAAACAACGGACACCCAGGCTGCTGCACACAGGGTTATTGTTTACTGGGTCAGCTTGGAAGCCTTAGAGCCGAGGCTGCTGAGTTTCAGGGACGGTCCTGTTTGGGCTTCAGGGAGAGCCAGTGCCCCACACTGGCCTCTGACCCACAGCTGGCCGGAGGGGGTCAGGCAGCAGGTCATGGCGGTGGGATTCATGTTGGTCGGGAGTCGCGTTTTCCGGTGCATCTTCTGTGACATGCTGTAACTGCCCCTTTCCGGGTCACTGCCCTCCATTTGCCGCTGTCCGGTCACCATCAGCCATTGGCCATCCACCTGCACCACCAGCTCCTCCGGGGCAAAGTCATGGGCATCCATCTTCATTTGGAAACTGTCTCTGGCATGGTCATTGTCCTCCTGAGCTGCCGGGCTGTCCTTGAGCAGCCGCACTGGCAGTGTGGCCGCCTGGTTCCGTTCAGCGAGGGCCACGCTGGGACACTGGGATGGCACCCGGCTCTCGGAGAAAGTGTTACCGACCCTCTGTATCCGATTGAGCAACCAACTGCTGTCCAAGAGCTCGAGGCTGCGAGCACAGAGCTAGGCGCGAGGACCCCAGGAGGGGAGGGGCCTCGCACAGCCTAGCTGAGCTCGGCTCGCTCGGTTCCCCTGGGTTTCCTTTGCTTCTGCAAAAGCAGGCGGAGTTGAGGTCAGCCACGCCCATCTTACCACCAAGAGCAAGACTGTCAGCGCCAGGCAGCTGCTCTCATCCCAGACCCTGACCCTTTCTCCGCCTTTCCCCACCTCGTCAGTGGGTCTGGGGCTGTGAAGGAACTGGATCCACAACCAGGCCAGATCCGAGGTAGCCGGACCCCGCCGCAGCCAGCAGCAGACTGATCTGCTGGCTAGCTGGAAGGGGGCTGTCTTGCCTCCTAAGGACCAGACCTGGGGCAAGGATTGTTCCCAGATACAGCCAGGGGAGGGCAGCCTTCCCGGGTCATCCACCCTGCCTCTCCCTGACCACCCACAACTCCACGTGACACGTGGGACGAAGAGGCAGACTGGTCTCTCCGGCTGCCTTAATAAATCCGCTCCCAGGGCTTCCTGTGCGGCAAGCTGGGTTCTGGGCTCTGGGGCCACAAAGATGAAGACGCAGTTGGGGCTTCAGGAGAGCAGCTCCCAGTGCACAGAGAAAGACCTACCTCTCCTCTGCCTGACCCTCCACTTCAGTAGCCTTGGTGACCATCGTGACCACAGCTATGGCTCTGGTGCTGTTATTTGATAAACTTTATTTTTTAAGAGACACGGGGTCTCGTTATGTTACCCAGGTTAATCTCGAACTACTAAGTAGGCTAAAGCGATCCTCCCATTTCGGCCTCCCAAAGTGCTGGGATTACAGGCGTGAGCCACCTCACCCAGCCTATAAACTTTATTTTTTTATTTTTTGTAGAGATGGGGGTCTCCCTATGTTGTCCAGCCTGGTTTCGAACTCCTGGGCTCAAGCGATCCTCCTGCGTGAGCCAGCCACCTGGCCTGATAAACTCCCTTTGTTGAGTGATACTATTAAATACATACATACAGAAAAGCATACAAAAGGATGCAGGTGAATGTCAGGAAGAGAACATACCCAAGTCACCACCACACTGCTGCAGAACTGTTGCTACGTTTCATCTCTACCGCAGGTGCAATTCCGTGTCCGGAGCCGCGTGGGGCAGGGCTTTTGCAGGAGTTGGGGAGAGGGTTAAGTGGTACAGAGGCTCGGGGAAGAGGCAGACCCCACGATTCTCCCAAGACACCTTGTCCCCAAGAGAACAGCCATCGTAACTCGCCCGGACGCCTTCAAAAGAGATTAGAAGTGAAGAGGGGTCAATGTGGGGCTTACGTTCAGGCCTCACTTGGCCGTCAGGGACCAAGAGACAAGACAGAAAAGTCTGGAAGCTAAAGGCAGTGGGGGAACACAGCGGGAAGACTACAACTCCCGTCGTGCGCCGCGCAGCGACGCCTGCGTACTGAGCGCCGGTTGCCCATGCGGCCCTAGGGCTGGGAGCGCGGCGCCGCTCTCCGCTGCGGGGGAGGCCATGGCGGAACCTTCCCAGGCCCCGACCCCGGCCCCGGCTGCGCAGCCCAGGCCCCTTCAGTCCCCAGCCCCTGCCCCAACTCCGACTCCTGCACCCAGCCCGGCTTCAGCCCCGACTCCGACTCCCACTCCGGCACCAGCCCCTGCCCCAGCTGCAGCTCCAGCCGGGAGCACAGGGACTGGGGGGCCCGGGGTAGGAAGTGGGGGGGCCGGGAGCGGGGGGGATCCGGCTCGACCTGGCCTGAGCCAGCAGCAGCGCGCTAGCCAGAGGAAGGCGCAAGTCCGGGGGCTGCCGCGCGCCAAGAAGCTAGAGAAGCTAGGGGTCTTCTCGGCTTGCAAGGTGGGGGCGGGGCCTGGGGTGAAGGGGCGGGGCTTGGGGCATCCCCGGGCTCGGGTGGGAATGGGGTCAAAGCTCTGGCTGCGGAACGGCTCTTGCCCCAGAGGTATAGGTCACTGACTGATCCTTCCGCCTCCAGGCCAATGAAACCTGTAAGTGTAATGGCTGGAAAAACCCCAAGCCCCCCACTGCACCCCGCATGGATCTGCAGCAGCCAGCTGCCAACCTGAGTGAGCTGTGCCGCAGTTGTGAGCACCCCTTGGGTAAGGCAGGCAGCGCCTTTGGAGCTGGGGGCAGGTGCAGGGTCCTGCTTGGACAGGGTGACAAGTCCCACAAAGCCTCATCTCTGAAAAAAATCAAAGATGCTTCCTAAGGAGGGATTGGGTTGGGGGTGTGCATGCATCAAGAAAGAAAGGAAATCTCAGCCCAGAACAGGTCCGGGCAACCCAACGGTTGATATCAGAGCAATCAGTCTCACCGTTGGTCACACTGGTTGGAGGGACGGAGTGTGTATCTTTGGTTGGCTGTGAAGAGAGGCAAGAAGCCTTGTTGCTCTCTTCTATCAGTTTTTCCCAACTCTGCCACCTGTCTTGCAGCTGACCACGTATCCCACTTGGAGAATGTGTCAGAGGATGAGATAAACCGCCTGCTGGGGATGGTGGTAGACGTGGAGAATCTCTTCATGTCTGTTCACAAGGAGGAGGACACAGACACCAAGCAGGTCTATTTCTACCTCTTCAAGGTGAGCTTCCACCTAAGGAGGGTGTGAGTGGGTGAAGGAGGTGGGGCCTTGAGGGGTTGTCTATAGCTCTGCCCCGCTCCCCCCTCCTTCCCTTCCTCTTCTCTCCAGCTCCTGCGGAAATGCATCCTGCAGATGACCCGGCCCGTGGTGGAGGGGTCCCTGGGCAGCCCCCCATTTGAGAAACCTAATATTGAGCAGGTGGGATAGGGGAATTGGGGACAGCTTGGAGGAGTGGGGAGCCTGTGTTCTCCATTCTCAAGCTGAGAACATGGGGGAAGTTCAGAGAAGGGAGGGTGTTTTGTGCTAACCTTGGTGCTGTAGGGAGGGGGCAGAGCTTCTCTATAGAGAGCACCTGAGAGAGAGGGGAGACCCTTGTCCCTGGCCTCAGGAAGCATCTTCTTTTGTCTAAGAAGGCCCTGCGGGCTGCTCACACCTCATTCCTGGTTTTGTCCCCACCCACCGCTTCTCAGGGTGTGCTGAACTTTGTGCAGTACAAGTTTAGTCACCTGGCTCCCAGGGAGCGGCAGACGATGTTTGAGCTCTCAAAGATGTTCTTGCTCTGCCTTAACTACTGGAAGCTTGAGACACCTGCCCAGTTTCGGCAGAGGTCTCAGGCTGAGGACGTGGCTACCTATAAGGTCAATTACACCAGGTAGGCTCAGCTGGGGGCAGCGTTGGGGCAGCCTTGCAGGCTCAGCCTGGGTTCAGTGGTTTCCGCCCTCACCTGTTTCCCCTCTGCCTCCTACTCTAGATGGCTCTGTTACTGCCACGTGCCCCAGAGCTGCGACAGCCTGCCTCGCTATGAAACCACTCATGTCTTTGGGCGAAGCCTTCTCCGGTCCATTTTCACTGTCACCCGCCGGCAGCTGCTGGAAAAGTTCCGAGTGGAGAAGGACAAATTGGTGCCTGAGAAAAGGACCCTCATCCTCACTCACTTCCCCAAGTAAGGCTCCTTCTGGCCTATCAGGATTTGGCACCAAGTTCACTTCCTCCCTGTTGTCCCCTTTTTTCCAGGAAGGCTTCCTGGATTGGTCCCTCCTCTCCCTCCATGGGCCTTCTGGGATCTGGGCGTCTACCTGGCAGACTTGCCCATGGCCCAGAAGCAACTTGCTAGTACTAGTCTGGGGATGGCAGGTACATGGCCCGAGCTAACGCTGCCCCCCTCACCCCACGCCCCGGTAGACGTTACTAATTATTTCCCATGGGGGCCTGGACACAGCCTCAGACTCCTTCCCTGCACAGCTCTCCAAGAAAGCAGAGCTTACGCTTAAAGTGAAACCCATTTCCACTCCTGTTCTGGTCTTTTCTGTACTGTGTTCTTCTGTTTGGCCACACCTTTTAAAATCTGGGTCATAACTCCCCTGTTCAAAAAGCCTTACTGACTAATCCTGGCTCTCTAGTGCCCCCTGCCACCAGGTGGGAACAAAAAATGGCAAGGTGGGGTGGAATCTGAGCCCATTTTGATACTGAGGGCAGTGAGGGGGACTCAGGGTGACAAGGTGTCCTGCCTGGTCACATAGCACAGGATGACATCAGCTCCGACATGTCTCCTTGTGCTGCCCAGCATGGCGAAACTGAGCCTCTTTGATCTCTGTCCTGGATGTGTCCTATCCTCTTACCTTCAATTGGAGGCTCCCTGAAGGCAGGGGCTGTCTCCTCTTTGAGGCCCCCAGTTCCCTAAGAGCAGGGTCTGTCTCTGACCAGCCTCCAGTCCCTTTGCTGCCTGGCCCAGGCCACACCCGTGGAGGACAGAGTTGTGGGACAGACTGTGTCCTCCCTACAGATTCCTGTCCATGCTGGAGGAGGAGATCTATGGGGCAAACTCTCCGATCTGGGAGTCAGGCTTCACCATGCCACCCTCAGAGGGGACACAGCTGGTGCCCCGGCCAGGTATGTGCCATGTTAGGCTCCGTAGGGTCTCTGGCCTCCCTGGCTGAGCTAAGCCTCCTGGGTGGAAGAGGGCTCAGCTGAGCTGGAGGGTCTGGATCCCATTGAGGGACCTGCCAACAGCTGCAACCCCTGTCCCTAATCTATGTCTGTCTGTCTCTCTCTCTCCCCCCACCGCACCATTCTCTCTCCCTCTCTCTCTCTTCAGCTACAGTCAGTGCAGCGGTTGTTCCCAGTACCCCCATCTTCAGCCCCAGCATGGGTGGAGCCAGCAGCAGCTCCCTGAGTCTGGATTCTGCAGGGGCCGAGCCTATGCCAGGTGGGATACTCAACCCCTGACCTCTGACCCTCATTCACCCCTCCCCAAACGTTTTTTACTGTTCCTGGACAACCTTGCCTACCTCCCCAATAGGCGAGAAAAGGAAGCTCCCGGAGAACCTGACCCTGGAGGATGCCAAGCGCCTCCGCGTGATGGGCGACATCCCCATGGAGCTGGTCAACGAGGTCATGCTGACCATCACCGACCCTGCTGCCATGCTGGGGCCTGAGGTGGGCAGCCCGACCTGCTGATCAGCTGGGGGATCCCCCCACCAACCTGAGACCCCGGCCCACTGCCCCTCCTCTCTGCCTAGACGAGCCTGCTATCAGCCAATGCAGCCCGGGATGAGACGGCCCGCCTGGAGGAGCGCCGAGGCATCATTGAGTTCCACGTCATCGGCAACTCACTGACGCCCAAGGCCAACCGGCGGGTGTTGCTGTGGCTCGTGGGGCTGCAGAATGTCTTTTCCCACCAGCTGCCTCGCATGCCCAAGGAGTACATCGCCCGCCTCGTCTTTGACCCGTGCGTCCCCCACAGAGCCCCTCCCCCAGGGCCACACACCTGGGAGCCCTTCCTCCTCCACCTCCTCACTCCTCAAAATTGGGGATCCCCTTTTCCCCACTTGTGAGGTTCAACCGTGGAGCATTCTTACTTCTCACTGCCCAACCCTGACTACAGCTCAGACTTCCAGGGCTCTGAAGAGGACAGGCAGGGACTGTGATGTGCCTCCCTCTCTCTTAGGAAGCACAAGACTCTGGCCTTGATCAAGGACGGGCGGGTTATCGGCGGCATCTGCTTCCGCATGTTTCCTACCCAGGGCTTCACCGAGATTGTCTTCTGTGCGGTCACCTCTAATGAGCAGGTCAAGGTGAGCGCAGCTCCCT